ATATCACCTATAAAGCTACGGCTAAACTACGTCAACTAAAACGGGCATATTGCAAATATAAGGACTTCAGCATCCTGTACCAAATTTACACTATACTTGAAGGTGTGAAATACCAACATGAAGTGCGTAAGCAAATAGAAGAAAATAATGCTCTCGCTACTGCGTGTAAGTCACAAAACCTCTGTCGTTTGCTTAACAAACGCATAATTCATTCTATAATACAAGATGGACAGACTTATTATGACGAAGCTGTTATTTGCGAACTGTTTAGTACATGGTTCTCCCTCAATCTGAACACATCTTCTACCCCTGATACTAACATTAACTGTAACAGTATGCATAATCTTTGTACCATCAAATTTGATCTTAATAATATTCAAGCCGCCATTAAAACCCTTAAACCCAATGGCAGCTGTGGTGCGGATGAGATACCTCCCATACTTTTTAGAATGGCAAGACCAAACCTTCCAGCGCTTTTGCTTAAAATTTTTACCTTATACCTTCAGTCTGGTGCATACCCCGAATCGTGGAAGTTGACTCATATTGTCCCAGTACATAAATCCGGACCGAAAGACTTAGTCCAAAACTACAGACCGATTAATATCACTCCTGTTATATCACGTGTGATGGAGAAAGTGATAAAAGATCAACTATCTGATCACTTACTCAGGGAAGGTCACATTGACCCCTCTCAACATGGCTTCATTAGAACTAGGTCATGCGCCACATGTCTTTTAGATTTCTTTAATGAGGTTACCAGCATACGCGATCAAAAGCAACTAGTAATCGTGTTGTATTTTGATATCAAAAAGGCTTTCGATAAGGTACCTCACAGTCTTTTAATCAACAGACTTCAGTCCGTCGGTATTAGTGGCCACCTGTTGCAATGGATTAGGTCGTTCCTCACAGAGAGATATCAGGTTACCAAAATCAACTCACATACATCTACACCTCGACCAATTACCAGTGGTGTTGTGCAGGGCAGTGTTTTGGGTCCACTACTTTTCATAATCTACATCAACAGCATATGCAGTTGTTTCAACACTGGTAAAACCTACCTCTATGCGGATGACCTAAAAGTGATTTATCAAACTAGCAAATCTGACTTAGGAAACTTGTTGCACACAATCCAGCACGAACTCAATACTGTAAATGTCTGGTGTAAGCAATGGAACCTTGAACTTAATACTGAGAAGTGTGGCTGGATGTGTTTCGGAGACATGTCTCCCAAATTAGATCTCATTCTCAACAGGAGTGTATTGCCCAAACTCACATCCGTAACTGATCTTGGAGTGCATTATTCGCACAACCTTAACTTCTCCGAACATATCTCCAATAAAGTTTCTCGAATGAGAAGAATGCTTGGTTTCATCTTTCGTAACTTCCTTCATAGAGAATCCAGAACAATTCTCTATAAAACATGCGTAAGACCTATTGCTGAATACTGCTCTTTCTTATTTTCTAACGTACGCCTGTCTGATACGTTGAAGCTTGAAGGAATATTCGGAAAGTCCTAAATCACTGCTCACTCATTGACTATCCAACCCGATGTATTGAACTCGGGCTTGATCCATGATGAAAAAGAAGGCTCAAGTCCAATTTGATCCTTTACTTTAAACTCCTGCATAAGCTCACATATTCCTCCTGCAGTTTAGTCCTTATTCATGGCCCATGTACACATAACCTTCGAGATAAAGTATCTACGGTCAAACTTGAGAAGTATAGATCCAAAACTCGAGAAAACTTCTTCCTTTCTAAATATGCACTTATATGGAATAGGCTTCCCTCAAAAATACGCATGGCAAGTGGGTTACATGAGTTTGTTCAACTTCTTAATGATGCTCTCAGTTGCACTGACTCTTCTGCGCTCGTGAACTCAATCGCACCCTGCTTTCATATTAATAGCTCTGCATACACTTTAAACACAATGAACTCAGTGCTGCGTCTTATTTAGTTATTTTTACACTCCAAGGTAGCACTCATGTTTCTGGTTGAATATAAATCTCTTTAGTTTTTATTTGAAATAGACAGGTTACTCTACTAACTGGGTCGATCGACACTGTTCAACTGTAAACTGGTTGATTAGAATGCACTCTACTCTCCTGGGCGCAACCTTATCAACACTTACAACTGTGTGAGTTTCACATTGCCTATTATCAATTATACTGTTCTCACTTACACGCTATTGACTTACCTTGGCCCCTTAGTGTTATCTATTGCTCCGCTTTTAACCGCGATACTCTTTATATCTCCTGCTTAGCTAGTTAAGTACATCTTCCCCACTACATTCAAAATGCTTATATCTTGTTTAAAAATTCTTACTATTTCTCCATAACTGTTAACTGTATAGCATTGATGCCTAACCAACAGTTCATAAGTTGTAATAGCCAGACGAGTTTGTGAAAGGAACTTGCAGAAAGTGTTTCTCAACAGGATGCGAGACATAGAACACCAAGTAGAACTCAATAGCTTCTTTTAAACATTTAACATGAGCCTAACAACACAAAAGGAGGGAGGGTGGAGTTACTGACCAGCAAACATTGATGGTATGGGCGATAACTTCAAACAACCCATGTTTGTGGGGCAGAACATTTTGTTTGCTTTCGGCTCTTTAGATTGATGAGACGACTAATCAGTAACACTGAGGTTGCTCTTATACGCTTGCTACTTCTGTGGTTCATGTTTCCAAAACTATGCTGAGGTCGCTATTCTGTCGAGACACCTGCAACATTCTTACTCAGGCGCTTACAGTATGACTTAGAGGTTGGCATTCAATAATAAAGAAAAAAAAACAGTTAGACAGTGCGACATTTTATTCATCAAATATTTATTTTTACAAACTCTACTCTTTTAACTAGAATTTCGATTTCAACGTACATAAATCCAGCTTCTTACTTCGACTTCTCTTCTATCCACCTAACACTGCACAACTCTCCCTTCTTTTTGCTGCACTCCTTTATCTGTGCGTTATATTCTTATATTCCCATAATTTACTTTAATTTAAGTGGTCAGTATGAATGTTATCTTGACTTACTACTGTATTGACTACTTTAACATGACAGGTTAAGTAGTGCTTTGGTTATATATATACACTTGCCACACTGCTGCCTTTTCCTCTCTCTCTTCTCCTTTTCAGAACCCCATTCACGGTGGGAAATCCTTGGCAACTCTAGGGAACATGCACCCAATGTACATGACTGTCTGGACCACAGCTCGTATCAAGCGCGTTCCATATGACCTTTCCCAACAAATTCACTATTGATCTCGGCCAATCGCCAATAGAACCTATTGTGCACCTTCCTCATTTGTACTCTAATATTGAAAATGTGGCTGTATAATACTGTTTCTGTCAGTGACATGGTGTAAATATGCAATCAGAAACTGATTCTTATACTTAATTTAACTGCTATAACTTTTACAGTAATTGTAAAGGCATTTGTGACAATTTGATCTAGCCTGTAAACTGGCGTGACTCTTGTAACTTAGTTATTTGAGAATAAATTATTATTATTATTATTATTATCTAAGAGTGCTGGTGTCTTATGACTTAAAGTTACGCTAGCTTTAACAAAACTACCCCTCGAGTAAACCTTGAACTAGTAACATTGAAGCACAATTTTGGTCAGTTTGATAGTAGAACGTTCCACGTACTGTTTAATAGCTCTCTTCAGCCGTATTTGGAGTATGAAAATATGATGTCTCCTCCCTCACTCCAAAACGAAGACAATAAACTCGAATGTATCCATGAAATCAGTTCGAGGACCAAAGTTCATACCTAATGAAGAGCAGCTCAAGTCACTGGATCATTACCTATGTGAGTATGGTCGCCTCAGAGGCGATCTAATGGCTGATAGTACTATGGAACGGGCTCTCCAAATACAGATGATCGAGTTGCGGGACTATGAACGCGTCTATATACGGGTTGAATTCGGGTCTCACATGTTATAGGAAGAAAGAAGACGGGATAGACCAGATGAAATTGATGTATTTGCCGGCGATTTCGTGATATCGAAGAGATACCGAAACGTGCCAGAGAATCGACAACGTTACAGAGCAGCGAAAGCAAGATGGCGACCGGAAAAGAGAGAAGACGGAATGACCGTAGCGTAGTGTCAGTATATATACAAAAAGAACAAAGGTTATTGTGTATAAACCAAAGTACGAATAAACAAATATTCGGTAGTACGTTCTCTGGTACAATTGACTATAAAAATGAATGTTGCTATTTAAGAAATCATGGTTTTCATCGTAAAAGTGAAGTCGCTACAGTACTCTGAACACCTCTGAGCATCCCATTAATTACTTACATTATTTCGGTTTCAACACAAACCTTATGGGAAACACCCAGAAACCAGAATCGCAACGTAATAGAGTGTACTGAAGGCACACCTAATCTTTACAAGTATTGAAATTCCGGAATTCGTCACGGACGGAGGTGGTAAAAGCAACTTCTCTGGAGTTCTTCAAAAAGAAACTTGACATATTCTTAAGGACTTGAGACAGTATTTCATTGGAACCTACATATATTTCTCTTTTACTGGTTGAACATACCTAGGTTCCTATCTAGAGGCATTGGTGGTCCATTGCTAATAGATACGGAAGCCCGTCAAGCAAATGATTCTTCTATTTCGTCCACCACCATTTCAACCATTTGAAGCTGAGTACTTGACGATGCTGTTGTCCGTAACATATACATCCTGAGGCTGACAAGTAAAATATGAAAACACCTCAACTCAATTATTGCTCCAGAAGACGTATATCCGCAAGCGTGACAACGTAGGGAAAGTAATTTCAAGGAATACTAGACATAGATTCAAACCATTGGTGTGTAATTGACAGGGGATATACTGAGTAGCACAAGTAAACTATATGCAACAAGATTATTAGCACACAGTAATAAAACTAATTCAAGTTACAAAGGAAGGAGGTTGACGGTATTTTTGAAGGGTAGTCACGATGTTTAGAAGTAAGTGAACTGAGCTGAAGAAGGCTCCAAACAGATGACCTTGGATCGGTTGGAAACTTTAAGCTGTAGGTCACACTTTCGACGTAATTTCGTAGCTGACTGACTTTCTTTCCTTCACTATGGTTGACGTACCTTAATTTTAGGTGCACTCAGTATTTTTGTATACATTTCGGAAGTGTTATATCCTGATTTTCCCCTTGTTTCTTTGTCTCTCAGTCACATATGCAATTAAAATATTACTTTTTACTTTTCAGGCACTTGGTTTAGGTTGTTTTTCTACCAAAACAATTATATGTTCACCTTTTGTCTTACTCTGCTAGTACAGTCTAAAACCAATTCTTCATGACTGGCTGTTATTGTTCATAATATTCAAATGCCTTTAGGTAAGAATTGTTTTGTTTTCTCATGCTCGGCGAGGTTTTTGTACGACTTTCATTCTTCAGCGTATAACTACATAATAATTGCCGTCCAGATATTTAAATATACTTTTTAGAAAAATTCAGTTCTCAAGAAAGAGGATGATTAGTAAACAGTATGACAATCTCTAACAGAGTAATATATGTTCTGGGATTAAAGTCATCACATTGAAAGTAATCCAAATAATACGGCTATTCAGAATCACTAAAAGAAAATGTTTGATGACCAATAGCAAATAAAGCTTCTTGATAAATGTTGTCTGTTGGTTTCCTGTCTTCCGTAGCTTGACAGATGTTATATACGCTACCACAGATTAAATTAGTAGATAAATCGGATAATATATCTGTTGCTGTAACAACCTATTGACATCATTTTGAATTTCTGATCAAACAGGTGATACTGACACCTACAGTCTTTTTGCTTACTATTGGTCTTTTATTGTATATATAACATATCTATAAGCTTAGACTCACCTGAGTCTAGCATAGTGAAAACACCAATAAGCCGTAGCGTAGAAAAAGTTCTGTAATTCTTTCTCATTTTATGTAATATCAGAGTATACTAGAAACACGTTAAAGCTGCAATAAATGTTTCAGAGCCACTGAACACAACTCCGTTTCACTATTGCTACAGAGCACTGCCTAAAAGATACAGTTGTCAAGAGGATGAAGACTATTTACCGCCATGAGGTACTTTTGTATGAATTTGATTAAAACATATTACACTACTTATATACATTACTATCACTTTTTGTGAAAGTTGTTTAATTTTAATGCCAAGATAAACGTTTTTGATAAAAAGTACCCAGCGTTTATCCGAAACCATGTCCTACCACATTTTACAAAACGGTGCGACTAAACTCCGTCAATTTCGATCCGTACCACAGTTTCAATACATAACAGGAGTTTCGATGAAGCCATGTGGTCTCAATAGAATTATTTTCACATTTTACATGTCAAATACGTTTTATAACTTGCGATTTAATTCGTAGTTGGAGTTCTTATACTTTCGGAATGTAACTAATACCATACTTTATCTTATACAACAATGGCATTTGCATGTAAGTGAGAATAAGATAGATCATAATTTGAGTTGGCTCTTTTGTATCTCAAGAAAAGTAAATAAAATACTCAAACATCACAACGCATACCTTGAAAAAAATATGGCAACTGATAGGAAGACAGTTCAACTACACTTTGACTCCCATACTTTGATACGTTACTGTATTAGCTATAATAATTGGCTTTTGGCTAAACGCTATATGAGGATTTAATCAACTTTACTTCAACAGTAGAGTTCAATAAACCTGACTTTTCGTGTGAGATAGTTCAGTTGTCGAAATTGAATATAATAATGCTATGTAGTTTTCAAAAACTATTTCTTATCATTTGGGCGAAAAATGGTCAGAAAGGAAGACGTTCAACAGAACTGAGAAATAGATGACATACTTTAAGTGAAGTTTTTCTGTATAATATATAATTTTATTTAATTTTCACATACGTAAAATTTCAGTTAACTTGAAGGAGTAAGTATTAAGCCTAACAGTAATGTTAGTATAAATGATACTATGACGCAACGTTTTTATATCCTTTGAGTTTTAACTACATCTCAGTTAGTTTCCGACCTTGTTCATAACAGCTGTTTTAATATTTCACATCTTAATGACGATGTTCATATTACTGATACAGACCTGATAATAAATTCAAGATTATGACCTAATAACTTGTTTGTTGTCTTCTGTTAGCAATGGATTTGACTGTGTGCAACTACTGCGTACATATGAGCCAATTTGGATAATAGATATCTCAATGCCCTTAAATTAATTTAGACGTGTTTTGCCTATATTAAGCCATTATGTTCAGTCTCCTGTGAACTAAGCCAACCAGTTTTACCGGATTACTGTGTAAAAGTAATAGTATAGTTACTAATAATAAGTTCTGGAGTCTTATTTTGTCACGATAACATATAGTATACGCTTTTTGTCCAGGTCCGCATTATTCGCCTACAACATTTCAAGTTTACTAAAATGAATCTTTTTGGAAATGTTTTTCTATCTGCTGCTGTTGGAATTTAATTTAGGACATTTGCTGAATACATTTGAAATGAGATTTGGATTTCTTTGCATTTGTAGCCCTTTCCACTGACACGATATTAAGAGTAGTGCTTTTTTCCAAAGTTTTGCACCATGTTTTATTAAGATTAATCTTCATTTCAGTTATACTTGCAGGCCTAATGCTCTGAAAATGAAGCACAGCAGATCTTCAGATGATCACTTTCCTAGTAAGTTCTCTTTCTGTTAAATCTTACATTTCTCTCTCTATCTATGTAATCTCTTAAAAGATCGGTGACTAGGCTACTGTTTAATTTGCTTCACAGATTTTTGACACAACAAACTATTTTCCAACAGAAAAATCCTAATTTAATTCAACCCCTACTTTGATTTACTTTTGACTCATTTTTTTTGCGTAACATTGTCGGAAAAGACGACACAAAGTTAACATATTTACCTTACTTTATTTCTTTTCGACAAGCATTCCAAACAGTTAATGAAAATATTTTAATCTCTGAAAAATTTCCGTTATGTTAAAACACAAATGTGTGAATAAATAATATTCTTTATAATAAATTCTCTTCAGTTCCTATGGTGATATATCCAAATCAATAATCCAAAATGTGGTCAGGTTTAAGGCATTATTATAGAATGTGAATCCAGGACTGTTTGTAATATAATTCGTCAATGTTGGAATGACTAATATGGAGTGTTCACTTGTGAAAGTTTATACATAGAATGAAGTTGTAAGGGTCAATGATCTGAATAAATATGGTAAACATTGGGTTGATAGAGATGATAATGCAATTACAATTCAGGAATTATGCAGTATGTAGATTGACATGAATGAGATACGAGTTAGTGAGTGGAGTTGGATATTGAGTAAATTTCTCAAAAAATTGCAAGTGTTATCATAACAATAGTAAGATTTGTGAAAAAGTTTTAGCTACGAAAATGCAGAGAGAGAGGTTGTATAAACATCAATCAGATTGTTACCATTAAAATGACCACTAACTAATTAGGCCAAAAGTTGGTCAAAGTTAATGCACTTGTTGTACGTATTTCCTCTGGACGAAAAGCTCCGGTTTCTTTTATCCGAATACCTAATGCTTCAGCCGTCTGGAGGATTATTAGTCTAACAGATTTCGACAGACTGATTTTAGCACGATATGTTATTGAAAGTAATTGCTCCATATTAGCTAGAATCGAGCTGCCAACAGATTTAACTATACCTTTGCTTAAGTACACTGAGATGTATATATATATATATATACATGTACCATTCGAGCCAGCTTGGTATTTGCATAGATTTATACAAAATTTATTCTATATGTTAACGTTTTAAAGTAGACGCGACTGCATTTTTTGAAATCGTGATGATAAAGAAGAGAAACTTTTCTCTGAAACAATAAAATCTCTCTAACTTTTCCTTGTTACCTTATCGACGTGATTTTAATCTGTCGCGTTACCAGGTCAATTTTCTTCCAATCAATTTCGCTTGAAAAGCTGTGTTGTCAGTTCGTACATACTTCACATGTTTTGCAGTATAAGTGGTTGGTATACTAGTAATAGGTTATAGTCTACATTTTTAAATCCAGTGTTATATTTATTTCTAAGTTGTTAGTACTGATAACGAAATCCTAATACAAATTAAAAATTTTTTAGTTGTAAATGACTGATGGAAGAATTCGGTGTGATTAAAAACTAAAGTTCTAAATTGTTTAAAATTATCCCTATTACTTTTTAAAGAGAAATAATCAATAAGAAAATTCGGTGTTCTTTTTGTCAAAGTTGATTAAGAAGACATAGTAATAGGTTTCATTGAGTTCACTAAATTCAAATACAAAACATTTAGGTTCATACCATTCAGAAAGTTCGTCTACTTAGTTTCATAAATGATAAAAGTTTATTTTTTGACCCTTTAAAATAGTTTGTTCTAACATTTACTAAGAAGATAATAATGGCATAGTTGTTTAAACATTCAACCTTCAGCCATTTGATTGTAGTTTTAAATTCGTCACTGTTTAATAAGTTCTGTGAAAACATTATTAATAAAATAGAGACTTAAATATGTATACAAAAACCTGTACTCAGTTGGTCTTAAGCAATTTAGGATATGACACAAGTTGAAGTTACTGTACCATATCAACATAACAAGATGAAATTATCATGAGAAATTTAGGGGTAGTAGTAGAAAAGATTAGGCATAAACAATCTGATTCAAGAAAAAACGAATCAATTTGTGAAATAATCAGTATGCAACCTGTCTTTGGTTACAGCGTTACATTAATTACATTCACTTTTTTTCTGGAATATTCAGATAGAGGTGGGAAATGTAGAAAGCTTTCTGCCGGTGAATCATCAAGTATATCTGTCTATCCTTTAGACGACTTAATGAAAGCACGTGCTAAATTTATTCACCAGTGGAATATATCATTGTCCAACCATGTTGTAGCGAAATCGATTAAAAGTGATCATTACAAACATCCACCAAATATAACTATGAAAAATTTTCTACAATATCCTTTTCATAATGGTACATCGGAAGTAACTTCATTTCTTCAGACTACAAAAAACATAGATGCAACCCAAGTAAAGAAGTCTAAAGTTGGTGAACAATCATTTCAACATCAAAAAATTAAAATCGATTTCGAAAATATATCTGATGAGGACTTTAGGCGTGTTTGTATGTTGCTCACTGAAAAGGCTTATTTGTTTGAAGAATCATTACAATTAGCTAATCAACATCAGTGCATATCAACGTTTCATTTTATTTGTGATTATTGTGACTTCATTAGTAGAACAGAGTATGATGCTCAGATACATTTGGAACAAACAAATCATCGGACATGCAGTAAATATTCACCTTGCTATCATTTAAGTGATTGGAACGAGATGTCAAGTGAGCTACAAAAGTCACGTGTTATCGTCAACAATTCAGACAGAGTCTACGGTTGGCGTGTTGGTGATACAGTAGTATGTTGTCCTACTTGCAACTTACCATTTTTGGATAAGGTAATTTACTGAGAATAAGTTCTCATTTTCTTTCATAAATGATAAATCTTCGCTCTGATTTGATGTGGTATTTATAAATGATCTGCTGACATTCAGTTTGTTTCAGAATTGTGATTACACTTTTACTTCAACAAATATCTTGGTTATTATCATTGTATTTCACTCGGTTTGTTTCGATTTTTTGATACTAGTTTGTTGGTTTCTGGCTCATCGCTTGTATGGCAGTATGTTCAACTCTCTCGTACACTAGGTATTTTACATATGTTGTCTAAGGATCATCTTACAAAGCATAATTATGGGAAGAATACCATTAGACAGCCTGACCAAATGATCTATCATCAGCTCTTTTCAAAGATAAAAACAACATACAGATTAGAGAATGAATAAGTTTCTTTGAATGTATAACAATTGAGTCTCACCTCACCACTTCTGTCCCTATTTGAATTGTATCTATATGACCCATATGTATAATAGTCAGATGGATTTTCTTTTTTCGCCTGTTCTTAAAGTTCTAATTTCATCCCCTATAACTCATTAAATTACTTCTGAATATTCAGTGCTTTTATATGGTTAAGTAAATAATAAAAACATGACGCGACAGGGATACTCATCAAAGTTCCTTATGTAACATATGCCGAGAACTAAACATGAAGTAAAATCATCAACGATACTAAAAAAGCCTATATTCCTAAAATTGTGGTTCAGTTGTTCTATAACTATCAAAATAGTAACTCAACGTATACAAAAAGCGTTAGAACGTATATTTACTGAAGTGAAATCATATCCTACTTTCTTCAGCAGGCCAGTAGTTAGTTCATGAAATATGGATGAATTGCCTAGTTCCCTTACCTTTAGCTGTACCTACCATTCCAAATGCTCTAGTGGAGTTAGTTATATTGGGCGCAAAATAAGACAAATGTATCATCGTATTTCTGAACATCACCTCATGACTGAACAAAAGATAAAAGAAAGTAATGAAAAGCTCAAACTTGTCCCATTTATTCGAAACTGACTATCACGTAGATACAACTTCAGCATTTAACGTTATTTAGAAAATACTTCTGAATTTACTCGGTGGTCGCAGAATCCGACTGTTACATACAGTAGAAGGCGTAGGAATACACATCAAAATCCTAACTTTTCTATAAAGAAAAAGTTTATACAGTCCCTGAATCTACATGTAAGACGCGTATATTAGTGTAGTGCCTTGATGAAGAACTAATAGAAAAGAAATATTTATCACTCATCTTATCATTTTACTGTCTCAACAGGAACATATTTTACTTATTCTTTTACGTTGGTTAATCAACCGTTTAATCATGTTCTAATGTAATTGCTTTCGTTTCAGATTATTTGTGCATATCACCATTGCTTACAGCATACTAAAAATCAATCTCTCTTTACTTACGGGAAAGTATTGAATGTAAGAAGTATACAAATTCGAAAACCACTAGTATGTCCAGGTTGTCAACAATATTTCCATACATCAGACAAAATTTTAAATCATTGGATTGATTCATCTCGCTGTGATTCACCGTTTCTAACGATTTTAAACAACAATGATTGTTTAAATCCTTGCTATATTCTCTCTGTATCATGTAACATCTGTCAACGTACTTTTACAACAGTTCCATCTTTGGAAGTAGAAGCTAATCACCCTGGTCAAAAGAGAAAATATCCATCGAAAAGAGAAAATACTTACAGATCACCAGCTACCTGGGCAAAAAATTTCGGTCGCTTTTGTGTTAGTCATGCTTTTGAACATTTAAATGAGAGTAGATTTCCTTCATGTAGCTTGAATATGCGGGTTATCAGTGTTCCGAAATCTGTTAATAGTCTTCCTCCCATCACCTCTGCAAATTATCCCAACAGATTGCATTTTAGCCTCAGTGAATGTAAACGTCTAATTTCATATCTTGAAAATTGTGAATGGAAATATCATCTACTTAGACAAGCTCAGGAAAGCTTTAGAAATTTCTTTGTGGACGCTATGCTCTATGTCTCGTGAACGGGTTTCTTTCCTGTACCCGCTCCAAGTAACCCCTTGTTTCGAAATTTGTACTTATAATTCGCTTGTATGAATTTTGTATAATAATAATAATAATCTACAATTGATTTAATATTTCTTTTTAATACCTTTCTCAGTAGAAGCTCTACTGAATCCCGGTAGTTTTTAATTCCAATTTATGTTGTGTTTATCTATCTTGAAGGTGACGTTCATTTCGGTTGCTCATTTATGATGACTCTATCATTAAACCTCCTATTTTCTTGTAATTTGTATCACGACTCATCTGACATAATCAAGATACCGAAGTACGCAGCGATAGACAACGCACCCCAGTACGTGCTTTAAACCAAAATAAAAATTCGTTCCTATTTCACTAAATAAGTGAAGAAACAATGATAGCAGTGGTATTTCATTTGTGCCGAGAACCGAAGCACTCAACTCCCACCTATACTACATCCGTCATGTCTCTTGGACCTTAAGGCAGCATTCGAATCTATCGATCAAGAGGTTCTGTGGCAGTGTCTGTCATTGAAAGGTGTACCAAAGAAGTACATTAACCTCATACAAGCTTTCTACTCGAACACTACAGGTCGAGTTAGAGCTAATGGCGAACTGTCATCGGAATCGATTACTTCAAGTGGTGTCCGTCCTAGATGTCCAATTTCTCCGTTCTTGTTTAACTTTTTCATGGAGATGCTTCTAGATATAACATTATCTTCTTCTGAATTTTCAGGAGTGGACCTTGTACCAGGAGATTCACTGGTTGACCTAAAATATGCCGATGACATAGTTCTATTTGTTGAAGACTCCGACAAAATGCAGTGTCTCCTGACTACCCTAAACAACAATGCAAGCATGTTCGGGATGCGATTCTCCCGTCGAAATGCGAACTGTTGATTCAGGATTGGCTTGTATCGGTACCTGAACTAGTGATAGGGAGTGAAGCAGTTGAGCGTGTTGATTGCTTCACTTATCTTGGAAGTCTCATCGGCGCTGACTGCTTGGTGAGTGCGAAATCTCAGCTCGGATACAGAAGGCTCGATCGGCTTTTGCCAACTTGCGTCACCTATGGCGTAGGCGAGATATCCGTTTGCTGACCAAAGAAAGAGTTTACTGTCCAGTAGTTCGCTCCGTCCTACTTTATGGGTATGAAACATGGCCAGTCAGAGTAGAAGATATTCGTAGGTCGTTTGTTTTCGATCATAGGTGTCTCCGAAGCATTGCTCGTATATTGTGGGACAACCGAGTAAGCAATGCTGTCTTTAGGAAACGGGCGCTCGGTAAGAATGGCAGATCAATAGATGAAGTGTTGAAACTTCATCAGTTGAGGTGGTTGGGACATGTGTTACGTATGTCTAACCACCGACTGCCTCGTCGAGCTATGTTTTGTGTTGTAGGATTCTGTTGGAAGAAATCTAGGAGCGGCCAAACCAAATCATGGAACATGTCAATGAAGTCACTGACTAGTGGATTGAGTCATGTTGATAGGAGTATACTACCTGGTTCGGGCCCCCGAGGTGATAGTAATCGATGGTTAGATACCCTGAATGACATGGCTGAAAACCGTTTGCAGTTGCGCAGGTGCATTCATTCCTTGTGTTATGTCAAACCCTAACATGAATTCCTAGTCACTTTATCTCTTTGTTTTTTAGTTTATTTCACTAGATTCTACCTCTTGGATAATATCCTCAAACCTTAAAATTTCGGATCACTGCTTATACTTTTATTATCTCTACTACTATTGGATTTAAAGTGACAATTACATTTCTTTGCTAATGTGGTATGACAATTTGAACTGATGTACGTACGTACGAAGTTCTACGTTGCTGTTGATTGATTGACGATTATCTTCTAGACTACAATCCTATTTTACGATTCCAAAGACTATTGTCTAGGAGACGATTTTCTGAAAAACGTTATCGGCGAGTGATTATTTTATATGATCCGTATTTTATCTCGTATGCTTATTACTTACAATCCCTATACTACTGCCGAAGCTCGTTTATTTTGTAATTTTTCACGTCGAATCCAACAACTAATTTAATTATTAAACAGAATGGTATCTTTTACTATATTACCTTACAGAGGGTAAATAACCAAAGTTTTTCTAAACCTGATTATACTTAAAAGGCCCTATTCGTTTGATAAGATGATAGGATTAAATAATTAGGTTCTAACACCACGTGCATGATTCGTTTACTGTCTTCATTATAATAAGGTATGCAACTTTTCTGTCTCTACGTATTATAGTTGTGGTTATATCTGGCTAGTGTAACACACTCCTGCTTTCAGTTAAATCCTCGTTCCTTTCGTCTACAACTGTCTTCTACAATTGCTTTGAAAAATCCGTCAAATTAATAAAAGCTGTTAGTGGTAAGATGTAAAAGGTGCTTATCGAACTTTGGCCACGGTTCTTTTGTACAAGAAAACAGTACATTCCCAATATCTTTGAAAGATGCAGAATCTGGTGTATACATCCTTCTGGTTTTGCATTAATTTCATAGAACTTGTATAATGTCGTCACTAATAACTGGGAATTCCCTAGCTTTTCAGTACTGTCGACCGTACGATTTACAACTGGCCAGACATTAATTTTATCGTTTTCAATTCGACCAAGATTAGAACAAAATAACCAGGAGTTCATTTTATTTTGTTGGGTTTTTGTCGTCAGCTTACAATATCCAAATATCAAAACCAACATCAAATTTAACATGACTGGATTAGAATTTGTATCATCGCGGTGGAGTTATGAAGTGCCGTTATGTATAAGTTCGTATGCCAGTCATTGGGTTTCACTTATAAAGATTGATAGCACTGTTGGGTTTCTTTACTGAAATAAAATCGATTATTATCATCTCGCGGACCCCAACCAGGTAGTCGACAATTACCGACATGGCTAAGTCCACTCGTCCATGACTTCCTGGATTTCTGCCGTGTTTTGGTTTGGCCGCCCCTAACTTTCTTCCAACCTATTCCTACACTACAAAACAAAGCTCGACGAGGCAGTCGGTGGTTAGACATACGTAACACATGTCCCAACCACCTCAACTGATGAAGTTTCAACCCTTCATCTATTGATCTGCCATTCTTACCGAGCGCCCGTTTCCTAAAGACAGCATTGCTTACTCGGTTGTCCCACAATATACGAGCAATGCTTCGGAGACACCTATGATCGAAAACAAACGACCTACGAATATCTTCTACTCTCACTGGTCATGTTTCACAGCCATAAAGTAAGACGGAGCGAACTGCTGAGCAATACACTCGTCCTTTAGTCAGCAAACGGATATCTCGCCCACGCCATAAGTGACTCAGTTTGGCAAAAGCCAATCGAGCCTTCTGTATGCGTGCTGAGATTTCGTCAGTCACCAGGCCATTGGCACTTATGAGACTCCCTAGATAATTGAAGCGGTCTACACGTTCGACTACTTCACTCCCTATCACTAGTTCAGGTACCGATGCAACCCAATCTTGAAGCAACATTTTGGATTTCGAGGGAAAACCCGCATCCCGAACATGCTTGAATTGTTGCTTAGGGTAGTCAGAAGACTGCATTTTGTCAGCATCTTCACCAAGTAGGACTATGTTATCGGCATATTCTAAATGGATAAGCGAGCCACCTGATAAAAGGTCTGCTCCTGAAAATTCAGACGAGTATAATGTTATATCTAGCAGCAGGTCTATGACAAAATTAAACAAGAATGGAGAAAGTGGACTGCCCTAACGCACACCACTTGAAGTAGAGAACTCCGATGACAGTTCGCCATTAGCTCTAACTCGACCTGTAGTGTTCGAGTAGAAAGCTTGTATGAGGTTAATGTACTTCTTTGGTACACCTTTCAATAACAGACATTGCAACAGAACCTAACGATCCACTGAGTCGAATGCCGCCTTAAGGTCCAGGAAGAAAACTATTGTAGGACGCCTAAATGTGTCTATGTTCCAGGACCTGTCGTAGTGTGAAGATGTGTTCTATACAACCACGTCCAGGCCGGAAACCAGCCTGGTTTTCTCTAGTCTGCTCTTCATGAGCTTTCGTTAAGCGTCGAAGTTTTATTGAGGCCAATATTTTAGAAACTATATTAGTTAGACTTATTCCCCTGTGATTGTCACAAGAAGACTTCTGTCCTTGCTTATAGATTGGGACAATCAATGATTGAGACCAGTCGGATGGGATTATGTCCAGTTCCCAAATTCTACCTAAGATCTCAGTCAACCTAGCTGCTAAAACTGGACCACCATCCTTAAACATCTCAGGGGTCAGCCTATCGGGACCTGCAGCTCGCCCTCGCTTCAGATTTCCTGACGCTTTCTCAACTTGATTAAGACTAAGGGGACTTAGGTCGATTTGCCATTCAGGATGACTGGAGATCGTGGGTAGCCAAAGTGTGGCTGAAGGCCAGTTGAACTGATCCCTAAAGTGTTCTGCCCATCGATCCAGTCTCCTGGATTGAGAATAAATAATAGTCCCATCATTTATCGAGATAGTCTCACTTACACTAGGATTCCTAATACCAGTTTCCTTGATAAGTCGGGAAAGTTGTCTACTGTTACCTATTGCCGCTGCCTTTCCCATAGCTTTTGCTTTCGCCACCAACTACTGTTCACAGTCGTCGCGTAGGCTTTTTATCAGCCTGCGCTTAAGCTGACTTCGTTCTTCATCATGTTCAGAGGCAGACGGGATGAGTTTTCGAGCATCCATCAGTTCGGTGGATGCTACTGAGATCCACGGTTTCATTCTAGCCTTATGGTCAACCTTACTAGCAGATATCACTACTGTTTCCACAGCCTTTTTGATATCATTCCATCCTGCTTCTGGATGGGAATCGCTTAAATGGTCGCTTAACTGTCTTTCTAGTTGTTCCTGAAATATATTTTTCACCCTATTATCATTAAGTAAAACCCTAAGAGGCTTTCTTACGGTGTCTTTCCTACGCCCAGTAAGCTTCAAACAAATACGAGCTCGCACTAGGGCATGATCTGAATCTAGACATGTGCCCCAGAACGAGCGACAGTCTTCTATCGAACCCCTCCATCGATGGCTGATGGCGATTTGATCTAAATGGGTCCAACGTTGAGACGACTTTGGAGGTCGCCAGGTCAACAGATGCTTTTCCTTATGCCTAAAGTTCGTGTTTGCTAAGAATAGGCGGTTGTCT